TTCCTTCGTCTCCATCTTTCCTCGACTGACCTTCCCCCCCTCTCTTCCTCCCTCCCGCAGCTGAAATTCTACCCGCCTTCTGCATTCTCTCCCCTCCTCCTCTCTCTTCCATCTCTCCCTCCTCCTCCTTCCTTCTTCATCTCCTCGACTTGACCTCCCCCCCCCTCTCCTTCCTCCCTCCCGCAGGTGAAATTCTACCCGCCTTCGCTCAAGTCCGTCCTGAAGGCGCTGGAAGGCCGAGAGACGGGAGCCAAGTTCGGGTACAGTCTCGCGTCGGGAGATTTCGACGGTGACGGCGTGTCGGATCTCGCCGTCGGGGCGCCACTCTGTCGGGGGGAGAAGGAGGCACCCGACGCAGGGGGCGTGTTCGTCTATTATTCGCCGCTGAAGAAGGTGAGATTGATTCAGTTGATTTAATGTTTTTTTTTCTAAGGGGAGGGAGCAACCGAAAGGTCATAGTTAATGGGTAAAGGGTTCATTTTAATGGGTCTTCTAAGGGTAGAGCAACCAAAGATAGATAGTTAATGGGCAAAGGGTACATTTAATGGGGCCTCTTCAGCCGCATGAGGGTGGTAGTTGATGTATAAATGGAGCAATCAATTAATTATTCACGCTGAAGAAGGTGAGAGGCAGACGCGAACGGGAGAGGCTTGGTCAGTAGTAACTCGGGGAGGTGTCATTTCGTCTGTTTTGGTGGTTGTTCAATGGAAATATAATAATTAAATTCATCATTTATTATTCATTATTGATTATTTATTATTCATTATTTATTATTCATTAGTTATTATTCATTATTGATCTGTAGTAACTCGAGGAGGTGTCGTGGCGCCTGCTTTGGTGGTTGTTCAATGGAAATATAGTAATTACAATTATTTTCCATCCTTTTTAATAATTGAAGAGACCAAAATGATAGAACATATACACAGAGCATCCGTAACTTTTGTGACGTCAAAATAAACCTTTTTTTTTTTCTTCTCTCTCTCTCTTCTCTCTCTCTCTCTTTTTTTTTTTTTTTTTTTTTTTTTTTTTTTTTTTTTTTTTTTTTTAGAATCAGACGCCATGACACCTCCTCGAGTTGCTGCTGATCTAGCCTTTCCCATACGCGTCGTTTCAACTTTTTCCTGTGGGGGAGTGGGGGGTGGATGGGGGGGGGGTCAGCGGGGGGAAACGAACCTAAGGCACAATATTTAGAAAAGAAAAAAATGAGTTATTGTCACCATTATTATTTTTTAATGAGGACGAAGCCATGACAGTAACAATTGGAATGAAACTGGAATAATGGAAATAACAGTGACAGTGACCTTTGCCCCGTTTCAGAGTGAGTCGCAGAAACAGCAGGAGGTCAGAGGTCAGAGTGCATGGGCGCGATTCGGGCTGGCTCTGACCTCACTTGGTGACGTCAACGCAGATGGATACGATGGTCAGGGATTGTCTGTTTTGTTTTGTTTTGTTTGTTGTCATTTTTCTGTGTTCGTGTTGTCAGATTTTGATTTCATTTTTTGTTTTGTTTGTTTTGTTTTTTTCTCTTTTTTTTTTTTTTTCTTCTCCCTCTCCCTCCTACAAGTCTACCTACCTCCCTACCTCCTTGTCTCCCTCTCTCTTTCTCTTTCCTCCGTCCACCCTCCCTCCCCCCCTCCCTCTCCTACCTCTCCCTCCCTCCTCCCCTCTCCTCTCTCTCTCCCACTTCCTCCCTCCCTCCCCCTCTCCCCCTCCCTCCCTCTCCCTCTCTCTCCCTCCCTCCCCTCCCTCCCTCTCCCTCTATCCCTCCTCCCTCCCTCCCCCCCTCTCCTCCCTCCCTCTCCCTCTCCCTCTCCCCCCTCTTCCCCCCTCTCCTCCCTATCCTCTCCCTCCCTCCCTCCCCCCCCCTCTCCCTATCCCTCTCTCCCACCCTCCCCTCTCTCCCCCTCCCTCCCCTCCCCTCTCTCCCTCTCCTCCCTCCCCTCTCTCTCCACCTCCCCCTCCTCTCTCCCACCCCACCTCCCCCCCTCCCTCTCTCTCCCACCCTCTCCCTCCCTCCTCTCTCTCCTCTCCACTCCCCCTCCCTCCCTCTCCATCCCTCCCCCTCTCTCCCCCCCCTCCACCTACACACCTACACCTCAGGTTTCTCATTTCAGACCTAGCTGTGGGCGCACCTTATGAAGACGAGGATGGCGCTGTGTACGTGTTCAATGGAGGTTCAGACGGTCTTCTCCCACGCCCATCTCAGGTGAGGGGAGGGAGTGGCCGAAGGGGGATGGTTAATGGGTAATGGGTTGATTTAATGGTATTTCTAAGGGAGGAACCGAAGGGGGATGGTTAATGGGCAAAGGGTAGATTTAATGGGCCTTTTAGTGATGGATCAAAAAAGGGGATTGTTAATGGGTAAAGGGTTGATTTAACGGGTCTTCTAAGGGGAGGGAGGAAGCGAAGGGGGATGGTTAATGGGTAATGGGTTGATTTAATGGGTCTTCTAAGGGAGGAATCGAAAGGGGATGGTTAATGGGTAATGGGTTGATTTAATGGGTCTTCTAAGGGGAGGGAGCAACCGAAGGGGGATTGTTAATGGGCAAAAGGTTGGATTGATGGGCCTTTTAGTGATGGAGTGACAGAAGGGAGATTGTTAATGGGTAAAGGGTTGATTTAATGGGTTTTCTAAGGGGAGGGAGGAAGTGAAGGGGGATGGTTAATGGATAATGGGTTGGATTAATGGGCCTTTTAGTGATGGAGCAATCGAAGGGGGATTGTTAATGGGTAAAGGGTTGATTTAACGGGTCTTCTAAGGGGAGGGAGGAACCGAAGGTGGATAGTTAATGGGCAAAGGGTAGATTTAATGGGCCTTTTAGTGATGGAGCAACCAAAGGGGATGGTTAATGGGTAATGGGTTGAATTAATGGGTCTTCTAAGGGGATGGAGTGACCGAAGGGGGATGGTTAATGGGTAAAGGGTTGAATTAATGAGCCTTTTAGTGATGGAGCAATCGAAGGGGATTGGTAATGGGTAATGGGTTGATTTAATGGGTTTTCTAAGGGTGGAGCAACCAAAGATGGATAGTTAATGGGCAAAGGGTAGATTTAATGGGGCCTCTTCAGCCGCATGATGTATGAGGGTATGTTGTATGAGGATGGTAGTTAATGGAGCAATCAATTCATTAATGGGTATAGGGTCTATTAATGGGATGATATGAAATAGTTAATGGATAAAAATATAATTAATGGGGGTGATAGTTAATGGGTAACGGGTGTATTTTATGTTGTGATGACAAAGATTAATAGTTAATTGGTAAAAGGTATATTTAATAGGGCGATGATATGGATTCATAAGTATTGATTTCAAGTGGTATTTAAGTTGTTAAAATGATGAAGAAATAACTTGTAAAATAAAAGAAATGGACAAACGGTTTAAAAAAAACATATTTGGAGTAAAATAGATCAATGAAATAGGCCTTAGTTAATTTGTAGTTGTTAATACTAAAAATAAAAGCAGTATAAGTGTAAAGATGACGTTAGAAGTTTATTTTTTTCTGAAAACGAAATTTATTTATTGTAATTTCAACCGTTTCCCTCTTGCAGATACTTCGCGCCTCCGATTTTACGGGTAACCTGAGAGGCTTTGGCTTCAGCTTAGACGGCGGTGTTGACATGGACGAAAACGGTTATACGGACGTGGCGATTGGCGCGCTAGGGGCCGAGTCAGCTGTTTTGCTCAGGTAAACGAACACTTTGACATTATATTTTATGAATTTGTCTGTTTTGTTTATTTATTTGTCATTTTCTTCCTCTTTCTTGCGTTTTTTTTCCTGCGTATTTCTCCTATTTTGCTTTTTTTTATTATCTTCCTCCGTTTTTGGTTCCTCCAT